CAATCCCTCACCATATGGCGTGTGTCACCACACTCAAAACAAGCTCTGGGAGGACGTGGTGGTTGTGACTGGCTCGGGCCAGGTCTGCTGGACTGACCACTGAAAGCACCCCGTGCAGGAGGCGCACTAGATATTGGAGGTGCATAATAAGGCTCCTGAGGTCTAGGAGGAGCTGGAATACCATTGGCTGCTGGAAGAGCTGAATGAAAGGGGCGACTCATATAACTCCTAGCATGACGAACTGCAGCTGGAGCACGGGCACCAGAATAATGGCCAGACTCTCGAGACCTCTTGGCCTCCCTCTCCTCTCTGTCCCGAGCATGCATACCCTCTATCCTCCTAGCAATGCTCACCACCTGCTGATAATGAATATTTATCTCCAACTTTCGAGCCATGCTAGACCTGATGTTGGGAATAAGTCCCTCGATAAACCGGCGAACCCTCTCGCGAACAGTAGAAACCAAAGCTGGTGCATGTCTAGCCAAGTCAGTGAAACGGACAGCATACTCCGAGACAGTCATAGTACCCTGGCGCAAATGCTCAAACTCTGCGCGCCATTCTGAGGAACATACTTTCTCAGGAACATATCTGAAAACTGAGTCCAAGTCAGGGAAGCTGCCTCATCTGGACTGTCTAACTCATAACTACGCCACCACTGATAGGCGGCTCCTCGAAATTGGAAGGTAGTGAAGGAAACCCCGCTCGATCCTGATATACCCATGGTACGGAGGATACGGTAGCACTCCTCTAGAAATCCCATAGCATCATTTGATGCTAGTCCACTGAATGTAGGAGGCTGATACATCTTGAACCTCTCAAGTCTCCTCTGCTCCTCCTCTGAAGCTATTGCTCTCTCCTCGGGCTGAACTGGGGCTACAGGCTGTGTCGGTATAATCTGTGGGACCTGCTCAACATGCACTCGCTGCTCAGGAGTGCGGGCGGCGGGAGTCTGTGCTCCTCCCCCGGCCTGGGATGTGGCTGCAGCAAGGGGAAGCAACCCTGCCTGAGCTAGAGTGGTGTACATACTCATGAACTGCGCAAGAGTCTCCTCGAGAGCTGGAGTAGTAGTAGCAGTAGGCGTGTCAGGCGCCTGGGCTCCAGTTGGAACTGCTGATGGCTCCTCGGTAGCAGCTCGCGCGGGTGCTCTGGCTGCACCGCGTGCGCGTCCTCGGTCTCTACCCCGGCCCCGACAACTCTCTCAGGGGGCGCGGGTGTGAGAGAATAGAAGACCGAAGTTTAGAATTTCGATATAAAAATCTCGCACGACAAAGAATTCAAATGAAGTGGAATTTTTTTAACAGTTACATAGCCTCTCGTAGATAAGTACAGACGTCTCCGTACCGATCCGCTAGACCCTAATAAACCGGCTTTGTGATTCATGACCTCCAGTAGCACGTGTCCTCACCATCTGTGAGAGAATAGAAGACAGAAGTTTAGAATTTCGATATCAAAAATCTCGCACGACAAGGAATTCAAATGAAGTGGAATTTTCTTAACAGTTACATAGCCTCTCATAGATAAGTACAGACGTCTCTGATACCAACTTGTCACGACCCCAGTTCGCCCTCTGTTAACTATCATGACGGCATCTAGTCTCTATGACTAGGTAAGCCTAACAATTTGCGGAAAAAGGAAACAACAGATAAAAACTCGTAGAAATTGCGGATAAACATAATGAAAACGTTTAAGATGCCGCTCGGCATATACAAATACGCACTCTCAACTGAAAGATCTCCCAAAACTCGGAATCTCATGAAATCACAAGCTATGGATACTACATAGTGTTCTAACTCCAGAATGTCTAATCAAAAGAAATACAGAAGGGCTATAACTACAAGAGAGAATGGAGAGGGACTTCTCGGTCTGCGGACGCGGTAGATATACCGCGAAGTCTCTGAAGAATCGCCTCGCCTCAAGGATAGTAGGCTGAGTCGAAGAACCTGGATCTGCACACGAAAAATATGTGCAGGAAAGGGCATGAGTACACCACAGCGGTACCCAGTAAGTGCCAAGTCTAACCTCGGTCGAGTAGTGACGAGGAAAGTCAGGGCCCTACCGGTCTTGTACATATATATATAAAGAAATGAAACAGTATGAAGTAACACAGGATAATAAGAATAACAACAAATACAACGGAGAGAAAATCACAGAAAGAACGTAACTCCACACAAAGAGAGCAACCGAGGATCTACCAGGATACCGTCCTGTAGTCCCCAACTATAAATATTCAATGAATCTCCCGGGTGTTGTCCCGTAGTCCAACTCGTAGTGCGTAGGGGATCTACCGGTATATCAATCCGTAGTCCCAAATGTAAATACCCACTACTGGGGGAATCTACCGGGATATCGCCCGCAGTCCCAAAGTAACCACACAGCAGCAACACGAAGAATATTCAACTCAATCCAATTTCATACCAAGGTAAGACAGGTATTTCTAACCTAGCATGCTGCACAGAATTCAAATAAAGCAGTTTGAGCAAGTAAAGCAATTAAGTCACTTAGACATGCTTCCCTAAGCTAGCAGTAGGCTTAAATTGCAAGTAGTATAAATAGGGAAAAAAACATAGTTATAGTTACTTAATGAAAACAGGATTTTCAACAATTAGCACATGTACCCACTCGTCACCTCACGTACAAGGCATTTCATATATCAACAATACCAAATCCTAAGGGGTGTTCCCCCACACAAGGTTAGGCAAGCCACTTACCTCGAACCAGCTCAATCAACTCGAAATCACGTTCTTGCCACGAGCACCCGACTCCAAATGGCCCAAATCTATTCCAATAAATTGCACAATGCAAATATAACTTCAAGTAACTAATTCCACTAATTAATTCGAAGCTAACACGCGAAATTAGGAAAATCGCCCAAAAAGTCCCCCGGGCCCACATCTCGGAATCGGATAAAATTCGCAAAACTAGAATCCTCACACTCTCACGGGTTCATACATACCAAATACACGAAAATCGGACCACAAACAACCCCTCAAATTCTCAATTCCAAGTCTCCAATTTCAAACCCTAAACCCCCAAATTTAACCCTTATTTTCCATAAATTTCTTGCCAAATCAGTAGAAAAATACCATAATAACGAGTTTGGGTTCAAAAAACCTTACCTCCTCGAATCTCCCTCGAATTCTCTCTCAAAAACCTCCCAAAAAGCTCAAAATCCGGATGAAAATGGTGAAGGAATGGGCAAAAATCGCGACTAAAACCTTATATAGGTTCTGGCCAGGGTTTCTGCACCTGCGGACCCGCTCCTGCGGTCCCTGGTGCGCATCTGCGAAATTCCACTTAAAGCACTGGGCCGCACCTGCGCTTCTTTTACCGCACATGCGCTTCTCGCAGGTGCGCTCAACCTCTCGCACCTGCGGATTCTGGTGTCCAAGTGCCTGGCCTCATTTGTGGTCCCCAAACCGCAGGTGTGGTTATGACAGAACTTCAGCAGTTGAAGCTGCGGTTATGACTGAAACCTTATATATGTTCTGGCCTTGGGTTTCCGCACCTGCGGCTATTTCCTCGCACCTGCGGACCCCCTCCTGCGGTCCCAGGTGCGCATCTGCGAAATTCCACTTAAAGCACTGGGCCGCACCTGCGCTTCTTTTACTGCACCTGCGCTTCTCGCAGGTGCCTCAACCTCTCGCACCTGCGGATTCTGGTCTCCATGTGCCTGGCCGCATCTGCGGTCCCCAAACCGCAGGTGCGGTTATGACAGAACTTCAGCAGTTGAAGCTGCTTCCAAATCTCCCAAACTCTTCCGTCACCCTTCCGTAATCATCCCGAGGCCCCCGGGACCTCAACCAAAAATACAAACAAGTCATATACCACTATTCAAACTTGTACCAATCTTCGAAACATTCAAAACAACATCAAATCATCAAAACACCCTCGGATTCAAGCCTAAGGATTCCAAAACTTCCAATTTCCGCTTTTGATCAAAAAGTCTATCAAACCTCGCCCGAATGACCTGAAATTTTGCACACACGTCCCAAATAACACGACGGACCTACTCCAACTTTCGGAATTCCATTCCGACCCCGTTATCAAAATCTCACTATCGAACCGGAAACTTCAAAAATTCGACTTTCGGCATTTCAAGCCTAATTAAGCTACGGACCTCCAAAACACAATCCGAGCACGCCTTTAAGCCCGAAATCACCCAACGGAGCTAACGGAACTAACGGAATTCCATTCCGAGGTCGTCTTCACACTGCTCCGACTACGGTCCAAATTCTAAAGTTTCATTTAGGGACTAAGTGTCCCAAAACACTCCGAAACTCAAAACGAATCCTCCCGACAACTCACAATAGCAGAAACAAACATGGGGAATGCAGTTAATAGGGGAACGGGGCGTTAATTCTTAAAATGACCGGTCGGGTCGTTACAATATAGGAGTTTAAGTTGCCTGAAACAAAAAAGTTAGTATTAAATAAGGAAATCAACTATATTTTGTTATCTCAAGTTTTTTCTAGTAAGATGCATCGAGATAACTCTATTTGTAGAGGTACTTGAGCTGAGTGAAATTGAGTCTTTTCGCAGATAGATTTTCATCACTTCTTGAAGCTCGCCTTGTCAAAAATGGTACGGTACTTCAGACTCTGTAGCAGGACTTTCTGGTTGGCCCAGTGCAAGTCCTGCTACAAACGAATCAAATCCAGTTCTAAGCCCCTAGTGATAAGAAAACTGATGGCCCAGCTATAGGTAATTATCATTGTTATTCCACTGCTTATATAGAGGAGTTAGTTGGAGGGGATTTTATTAGATCCAAGTTAGTTTTCCTTTCCATATGAGCCATTATAATTTGACTGTTTCTACCTATCCCAAAAAAAAATTGACTGTTTGTTGAAGTGACCCGTGGAAAACAAACACATTCTGTTCATGAAGGTGTGAGACGATGTTTTCTGTTAACTCTTTTGATGATTAGTCATTACTGCATTATAAATTCATTGGGTGTTGAATTTCATAACTATATATTGACTATGTTTTAATGTTATTTGCAGAAAATGGAGGAGTAAACCTCTGGGAACAACTGAGTGAGACTATAAAGGCGAAGATGGGACAGTTACATAATAAAAGTAGCTGGGGTAATGGGAGCTCTAAGAAGGCTCATGGTCACATAGAACCTTGAGAGGCAGTTCTCTTGGTCCCAGAATGGCCTATCAAAGATCTAAAAAGGAAATATGAGATGAAGCAAAACTTGTACATATCGTCATTTACTCTCGAAATTTTAGCTGAATGAAGAAGGTGAACTCCGGTTTGGCGCGCAGGTATCAGGGGAAAGTTGGTGCTTATAGTAGCAGCAAAGTTAGTGGTATTAACGCATTCCCCGGTAAATTTTGCTAGTGTTATCTAGAGTCTATCCATTTCAAAAATTGTCCCATATGTAGATTGCCAAAACTTGTTTACCTTTCTTGTATTTGTACTACGAGTTTCTGCCCAAAACTGGTTTGAGTTTTTGGTGTAAAGAAATTCTAGCCTGTGTATGCTTTAGCATTGTTTCCGTTGGGCAGCAAACTAATCAAGTAAGGAATTCCAAAACGAGGAATCATCCTTCCTATAAACTCACCAAGAGACACAAAAGAACGCAAGAAAGACTGAATTCAAAAGGTGCATTTGAGACCTGGTATGCATTGAAGAAAGTCATAAGGAAAGAATTTGCACCTAGTCACTCATCCCAATGACTTCAACAATCATGTCCAACCTAGCCAAGGAGTTCAAAGACTAATTAACGGTTTAAAAGAGTAAGCATACTCTTCGTGGAGGAGTAAAGGGAGAGCAAGTTGATAACCTTAAAGTGAAAAAAAAGAGGTATATGTTTAAAAATGATTAAAGCAAGGAGCGACTAACAAAAGAGTGTTCAGACTTGTAAATAGCCAATTAGCCATAAGGACAAACCTAACGACAAAAATGGGAGTGAGTCTTAAAGAGATAACTTGCCATAACGGTAACCTGGGGCTCCAATGACCTGTCACCGATCATATGTGTTGGTTTTTTTAAAAATAACGGGACAGAAAAAAGAAAAAAAAGATTTGAAGTATTGATTGAAAATGACTCTACTTTTTTTATTTAACATAGAGGACTTTAAATAGGCAACTTGAAAACATAATCTACAGAAAATTTGCATAACAGGAATTCAAAAAGGCTAAAATATCTCAACAAACCAAATAAATTAATTGAAATTTAAATTTTAAAAAGTAAATTCATCCTAAAACTAAGCAACTTATTATGCTAAAAAATTGCAACAGTAACTGAAGTAAATTTTTAAATAATTGGAAAATAAACAACAAGTATTTTTTGGTACTCCTTTTTAAGCTTTTCTCAAGCTTCTTTTGATGTTTCACATTCAATGATTTTAGAAAAAAATTCTGCAACTGAATTTTGAATCAACAGTTTTGCTTTGTATTTTTTGATTTTCTCTTCTGAATGATTTTTGATTTGGGCAAGCATAGGATTTGCAGGGAGTAGGAGTGTACATAGGTCGGGTTGATTCGGATTTTCTAATTACCAAACCAAACCAAATGTATCGGGTTATCAATCAATATCAATACTATATTAAAAGTGGGAAGCCTTTTAGTTAAAAGTTAAATTACTAAAGTAACCTTCTTATTGCCCTATTATCATATTTAAAATTAAAAAAGATAAAACGCCTAACTAAGCCAACGTTTAATAAGCTACAACAACCCCAAGTAGGTGACGGATTAAAATGGTTGCCTTTTCTCTTGCAATTTCATGGGTAATTTCTGTCTTGCTAAGTATAGTGTGTTAGTATGTGGAGCAGAATTGTGTTTGCGTCTAAAGACATGGTTTGATTGCTATAAAGTGGACGAAATTATGGACAAGTATGATAGATTCTGAGCGGGAAGCTCTTAACCAAAAAGTTAAATTACCTAAATGCCCTTCTAAATAATTTAGACAATGATTGCATCTATATATTGTTTTCTGCTTTCCTACTGGCTTCTCATTTAGACAATGCTTTCCTACTGGCTTTAGATAAGACGACGCAATGTTTGCATTTTGCAGTATAAGTCATTTATTTTTAAATTCAAATTAAAAATTATTTTGCGCATAGATCGTTTATCTCTAAATTTAAACAACAATTATTTTTCATTAACAGACAAATATTGAAACTAAACAACAAGTAGTAAATTTCAGTTATTATACTTTTGTGAATTTAAATCAGATTTAGAGTACTAAATATACAAAAGAGGCGGTCTCTTTCTTTATTCTTTAAAAAAATAACCAAAAAAATTATGTCGCTCGCAATAAACTACTCATATTATCTGTATTTAAAAGTTATTTTCATATTCAAGTTCCCTATATATCAAATAGCCTATTAAATTGTGTTTTAGTGATAAATCTTGAAAAATTGAATTAATACTTGTAAGTCAAAAGAAAAAAGATCCTGCAAAACTAAAATCAAAATAAGATATTTTAAATTAATTACTACTAAATAAGATAATTCAAATTAAATATTGTTAATTAACCGTACAAAATCTTTTTATGAAATATTAAATTACCAACTTAAGTCGTTTAGTGACATACATTTGTTTTTACGAAGACATGAGTAATGAATTTATGTTTTGTTAGTTTAGCCACCAGGTTACATTTACATATTATGCTGCTTAGACCATATTGGCATAAACATTGATCCTATATGTTTTACTTGTAAAACTGATAAGGAAACTATTAAACATGTCTTCTTGGAATGCATGGCAGTTAAACAATTGTGGTCACACTTAGGAATTGATCCCAAAAATTGGAATGGTGTCAATAGTTGGCTAACTTATATTCGAGACCATAAATCTACTTTTAAAAACCCTATTATCACCTATCATGATCTATTTCCCTTTGTCATATGGACAATTTGGGTTATCAGAAATAACAATTTATACAATAACTATACGCACTTAGCTAGCCTTAAAAGTGCTATTAATTTAACAGTAGAGTTTAAGCTTTTAAATGAAAAAGAAAATACTATGCCGGTAAAAATTTCAATAAACGTTACGTGGAGTAAATCTCCTAGAGGACTCATTAAGCTTAATATTGATAGTTCCTTCAATGAAGACCAATCGCTCTGTGGAATTGGTGGAGTACAGAGACAGCAATGGCCAATGGATAGTTGGCTTCCATGGAAACATCCCAGGAACAACACCGCTTCAGGCAGAATTAATGGCCTTGAAGATTGGTTTGCAGACTGCTACAAAATTAGAAGTAGAAACAGATTCAACCGATGTCATTAACTGGTTGGATAATGGAATGGTAATACTAAATGACATTATTCATGAGTGCAGGTTGTTAATGGGGCAGGTGAAGATTTAGGGAGTACAGCACATCTTCAGGGAGGCCAACAAGCCGGCACACATGCTGGCTTAAAAAACGCTGAGTGGCAACAACAACCGGGATCTCAATGTTATCTACTATGCTCCTGATTTTACAAAGAATGTCTTGAAATCAGACTGTGAAGGCAAGACTTATGCAGTTAGGCTCGTTAACAAAGATGTTTGCTCTAGACTAGCAGCTTTTGGTAACAAAAATGTCCTTAGAGACATGTTATTGGTTTGTCCTTAGATATATATATATATATATATATATATATATATATATATATATATATATATATATATATATATATATATATATATATATATATATGATCCCTGTTAGTCAAAAAAAAATAAGTGTTTGTTTGGGACGAACTTTCAAAGTGAATATATGATGATTTACATGGATCATTGTAAAAATTTGTACCTTATTTCATGTATAATTATTTGTTCGAAATTTTATTTTAATAATATTAATATTATATTATAAAATTAGATATTCTATATTTCAACATACACGTGCAATGCACGTGCAGAGAAACTAGCTAAATTTAAAGGCCAAACCAAACCAATAAAAGTTATATTTTTTAATCTCGGATTTTTCGGATTTTCGGGTTTTCGATTTTTTTTTTATAAAGTCTTAATAGCACAAAACATAGAATTTATGCTCTAATTATTTCTTTAATCCAAGTAAGACAGAACTATATAAAGTATTTTTCAATAAAATAACATAAATATGAGATGAGTCATAGCATTGTACTAAAATATTAAACAATAAAGACAGTAAAATCGCATAAAATAAATATTATTAATAAGCCATAATACGTCCTGTTCCTCTCCCAGCGGACTACTCACCTAGGCCTCTTTAGAGTCCTTTGAGGAAGGGGAGTCGTTCTCAGGTCTCATGTGCAAGCTGGAATCCAGTTCCAAACCAACAAGAAAACAAACATAATTTAAAATTACTAATAAGTTGCTAAAATAAGTACGACTAATAAGTACTATTATAACATGACTAAACACTAAAAGAAAAAGTTATACATTTTATCCAAACCTTGGAAAAACTAAATAATAGATATCCAACACTATTTTCATTCATAGTACAATTGAATTGAATGTCTTTTATTAGCATTAGTAGTATTGATTTGATTTTGCTTTAGGATTTATTTGAGTTACTAATATTTATGAACTATAAAATTTATTGGAGCATCCAAAAATTATAAGTCCAAGCTTGAAATAATACGTTAAAAGATAAAACTCTAAAAAAGTTTAAGAAATATTTATAAACTACACTACAATAAATATTTTTATGTATTTAAATATATTTAAAACTTCTATACATATAATGTCGGGTTGGTTTGGTTTCGGTTTGACTTTTTTTTTAGTCAAAACCAAATCAAACCAAATATGGTCGGGTTTTTTATCCAACACCAACCAAATCAAACCATAGTCGGGTTTTTTTTCTCGGTTTTACTCGGATTATCGAATTGGTGCAGTTTGTCGGTTTTATTTGTACACCCCTAGCAGGGAGTAGTTGTAATGGTCTATCTTCCATTACAACTTCCCATAGATCATAGGCTTCAAGATATGATTTCATTTTCACACACCAAATTTAATAGTTTTCACCAGTGAAAGTTTGTAGGCCATTCAAAGAGAGACCGCTCCTTGCCATGTTTGAAAAAGAGTTTAAAATTGATATTGGTTAAAAATGATTTGAAAATGCTTCTTCGGAAGAACTCACAGATCCCATAAGACCAATGATGCTCTTGATACCACCATTGTTTTTTTTTTAAATGATGTGGCAGCAAAAAATATTTAAAGTATTGATTGAAAATGTCTCTACTTTTTTATTAAATATAGAGAACTTTAAAGCCAACTTGAAAGTATAATCTGCAGAAAATCTAAAAAGAATTCAAAAAATCTAAAATATCTCAACAAACCAAAAATATTTAACAGAAATTTTGAATTTTAAAAAGTAGATTCATCCTAAAAGTAACAACTTATTATGCTAAAAAATTGCAACAGTAACTAAAGCAAATCTTCAACAATATGTCATTTGTGCGAGAAATGCTTTAAGTGATGTCATTATCAAGAAAATAATTTCGTATATATATATATATATAAACTTAAATTATTTTATTGAGGACAAATAATTGAGTAAGTTTTTTCATT